CCGTTTCAAAAATTTAGATATTAATTTGTAAAAACTCGTAATAATCCAACTACTAGGAATTAGGAGCACGAATGTGAAGCTCCCACTTTCTTTTAAAAACTATAAAATTATGTCGTTCATAGAGGATGAATCAGCTTGTCGATTAACCTCCAAGTACCGTAAATCACGGCGAACATGCAACGTCGTGCAACTAGAAATCAAGGTAAAACTTAAAAAGCTATGTTTGGTCGTTAAAAGACGTCAATCAGCTACATGGTTCCATATGTGTTGAATTCGGTTGGATAATGGCTCGTGTATTTGTATTCAGACGGGGTGTTAAGTTAGTGTTTTGGTTGTATTATAGAAAGACAAACGTGACACTTATTCGTAGCATCTACGGCGTGATTTACGGTAGTATACGATTAGAGATACCCACGTTGTCGCACCAGATTTATTGTTAAATTCTAAACCATTTAATTTTTAAATGACCTAGATCCTAATTATTGGATCTGTTGGGAAACAGATATAATCCACTTTAATCTAGGCTAGTTTCACCTCAATTTGATTCGCTTAGGTATTTATACCAATTAAAAGAATGTTTGGTAGCCAATCATAACGACTATGCCCAAAAAAATTGAATCAGAGTAGTAAAATGGTTACTTTTCCCACATTTATGCACTGAATAACACGCTTATATAGAATCCTTCATTCATAAGAATAGAGCGAGGGGTGTGAATCACAACAAATGTTTGTCAAAGGTTCAGAAACGACAAAAATATACTATGAATGGTATTAATGAATACGGCCAGAAAGTCAATTACCAATACCTGTTCGATTGTTACTGAGATAGAACTTTCAGTTAACCATATCCGTTCGGAGGCAAACATTACTCAAATATAACCATTTACAACCTCTTGTATCGCTGACGTTGTATATGTACTTATTAAATAAGCCAAGCCTCGACCGATCAAACAGGAGAACTCCTCACGCAAAAAATTGACGAACAAACTCTGACTCATTCGATTGCTATTAAGCCGCCGAAATTGTTGTAGCACTTGATTCGTGAGCCACTCGATCATATCATTCTACCAATCATGCGGATCGAATCGCCCAGATGCTTACGTGATGATCACAACCTTAGTTCTCCTTAAAACGCACATGTCGGATTGTGTTATATTAGCTTAATTGTCTTATTTCTGGCCCTATGCTGTTTTCCTGCTACCTCAGTTACTTTCGCTTGTTGGTTTGCTAGTTCGTCAAACTGTTTCGCCTTGAATATTCCTTCCAACACCTGTAAAGTTAAAGGTTAGCGACAGTCTTTCATTTCCCAGTTTAGAAGTCCGACACTACCGATGCCGAGTTAGCAAATACTGTTGACTACCGCATCTTCCAGGCTGTGTATGCACACAAGGAATGCTGCTATTACATTGGCACAGATTCGTTACCGGACGGTCGGCCAGCTACACAGGTGACGCCCATTGACTCGACTATCTACGCATCTATTGAGGACATGGCGATCCAGTTTTCTATTGAAGCAAGACAATTGCTGATCGACGATGCGTTGGCCAGCGACCTGAACTTTCGACAACACAAAAATTATGGAGATGATTAAACGTTTTTGACTTTGCTACTTCCTCAGGCGCGTCCCAGCCGACATTAAATATCGTTTTATGGTCCTCCTTATCCAGCCCTGACTTGATGGAATCACTTTAGCATGTTTGCCAGAAATATCTCTCGACGTTCATGTTCTGGCAGCTTCCACGTGATCAAGATTCCAAAATTCCATCAGGTGAGTACGCCAAGGCCTCAACACGTCTTCACCAAAGCCCCTGGGGGTGCCCAAACCAAGCTATGATGGTATCACTGGTGGCGCG